AGCCCTGCACGGCACCCCAAATCCCATGCATGATGCTATTGTCTACTGGTCTAGCCCCACAGAGGGCCCTGGCATGATGTCACATTCAACTCCAGACTTGTGTTCTTCTCCCAGCTCTGTGTGTCCTATTCGGGTGTCCCAGTCACTGAGAAAGTGGCACCTTCTCCTCTGGGTTCATGTGGCTATTGCAGATAATATTGTTTGTTTTGGGCACTTGCTCAATGTCAAATCTGTATCTCCTGTTTCTTCCTCCTCCTCCTTGATCTCCCACCCCTGTTAGAATAACTGACTGCTGATTGTCACTGGGCCCAGGCAGGGCTCCCCTCCCCGCTTACCCTGCACCTGTCCTGGTCTCTGAGAGGGTGGAGTCTGTGTGCTGGGCTGATCAGTGCTCTGCTTTACACTCCTTGAGGTGCTCACATCACCTCTTCTTGGCCCTCCAATGGGAGAGGCGGAGATGCCAGGATCTGGCCCAGCAGTGCCATTCAGAGTGCAGGCTGGAGAAGCTGAAGTGGGATTTGTGTTTACTGTTTGTCTTCCTCCGCTCACAGCTGTATCTGTAGTACCCTTATTGAATTCAGTCACTTTTCAGGAGCCCCGTGCCTCAGTTAAGGCTCATGTATGAACATCTCTGCCCATCTCTAAGCCCCTTAGACACTCCGCCAGCCACCTGAGCTCTGAACCAGCAGCCCCGATAGCCATTTTTCAGGGCTTTGCCCTGCCTGTCCACGTGTCACTCCTGCCGCTATTGAACACCAAGTGTGGGCTCTGACATCCTGGCCCTTCTGTGCCTGGCCATGGACTCCCTGTCACCGGCTGTCTCCTCTGCATCTGAGCTCTGCCCTCTATCAGCCCAGGTCCTGCTTGGTGCCCTTCTCCCAGGGCAGGGCTGGCAGAGCGCTTCCGAGGCGGGCAGTTTGTTCCTTTGTCTTCATCTCTCCTTCCCTTTCCATGTCCCTCTGTCTGTCCTGCCCTCTGCCCACCTTGTAAAAGAAAAGAGTGCATGTTGGCATTTGAATTGAAGGGCTCAAGGTTCCTACCCTAACCTGCAGATAATTTCATTTGATCAAATGCAAATGCCAGATACTGTGTTCCTCTAAAGTACCGAACCCTGTTTTCATGCCGAGGGTCTGGTGGTGAATAGGGTACAGCCTGTGTAGAATGGACGCTCTCTAAAATGGAATGTCCATTCTAGAGGGGACAGACAGACAGATACATGCTAAAAAGCAGACTTTAGCATGGATGCGTAATTAAAAGAGTGAAATGCTGTGAAGAAAAAACAAGCTGCTATAAGGAGATGGGGTATGGTGGCGGTGGGTGGAGCGGCTGTTTCAGAAGGAACAATCAGGAACAGCTCCCTGCAGTGTGGAGGACTAACTGGAGGCAAGGGAGACACGCTATGGGCCCAGGGGAGTGTTCAGACACAGAGAGCAGCTTTACAAAACTTCAGAGAAGTGGGCAAAGCCGTGCAGCTGGAGCACAGTGGAAAGCCTCACTGAACCTCACCTTTCTCATCTCTGTGGGTGACGGGGTGCTGAGATGTTGGGGTGAAGAGTAGAAATTGAAGTGACATGACCTCTGTAACTCAGAACATAGACTTTGTCCCAGACAGTGACTTCCTTGACTGCCCCTCCTCTTAGCACATGCCGGGGAGCTGGTTTATAGCGTGTGAAGCAAGCAAGCGCTGAGGTGCCACCTGCTGTGCTGGTGTCTCTGACCACTTGCAGGCCCAGGGCTGTGCCCCAACTTGCCACCCATGGGTGCTGTGGGTGACTATGCGACTAACGTATTTCCTGCTCCCCCGCAAACCACCATCTCATTTTGCTCAGGCTCTCTCCCTTGCTCCTGTCCCTGACATCCTAGAGGCCCCTCGGTCTGCCCTCACTCTCCTTCTAGGCTCAGCCATACTCTACAGCTTTCCACACACCCCAGGCCTCCCTCTACCCGCATGGGCTTTGTCGGCTTTGGGTCCCTCCTCACCTGCCTCCCCTCTAATACCTGTGTCTGTTGTTGGGCTTCCAGTTCCTTCCCCGGGTCTTGTTCTTGGGTTTATCTTTCTCAGGAACTCTTTTACCTCCAGCATCACGAAATTATGGATGGCTCTTTATCATTTTCCTCCATTTTCCATCTTATGTATTGCTTTAGTTATAAAAGAGCCAAAAGGCTCATTTTTTTTTGGAAGATATAATAATGGTTTATTTTTACATCATTTTGTGCCTTTTCCCATCTCAGTTGTAATCCCCATGGGTTTCCCATCACCAAATCACCTGTGGTGCCATCACCATAGTCCAGTGCACTTCCCTCCCCCCACTGTTTTTGATCCCATTCCCCATTCTACCCCCATAAAATGTTTTTGAAAGTTTTTAAGTGAATCTAAGATTTAATAAAAATTGGCTATTGGTATATTGAAATGTGCATTGTATATATTAATGGGGTTTTCCTTTAGGTTATTAAACCCTTAAAAGTTTTTTTTTAAATATATAATAGTTTATTTTTATATCATAATGTGCATTTTTCCATCTCAGTTGTAATCCCCGTGGGCTTCCCCAAAAGGCTCATTTTTATGTAGAAAATCACACACACACTGAATTACTCCAGGTTGGAAACGTTACTGATTGATAATAAGTTGTCTCCAAAGAATTAGGGACTCCAGATGTAGGCTATCATTCCTCAAGAAAATGACTGCAAGTCCCATCCAGTAAATTTTCTTTGTCTCGTGTCTTCCTTTAAACTTGTCTGTATGTGGATCATGGATGCCTTTGGCTTTTTGAACCTATGTAGTATCTAAGTAGGTTACTTCAGATATTCCAGGGATTTAGACATTTTTTGAGGATTTTCTGGCCTATTCTAAGGAAATTAGACCATAAACAAGCCTCTGGCACTTTCAGGAGATTGTACGCAAGGTGCTGACCACAGACACTGCCTCACACCTAGTTGGCCCTTGGGTTTTCTCGTTGCTGTTTCATTTTCAGTTGCCTGCAAGCTCTCTGAAGGTTATAAGCCTTGTTTACCTCAGCTCTGAGAGTCTAGAATCATAAGGAAAATGGACATGCGGTTTTCCTTGTTTTTCAAAGCTGAGAGAGAAATAAATTACATTGCATTGAAAACTACTTAAGATGAAACATGTTTACGTTCACAGGACTCCCGGTGTCTATTTTGTGAGAGACTGCAGTCTTCAGTTGCTGATTCTGTTGCCCTCTGAGTAGATTATCTCTCTGGTCATTTTAAATCCCCCATGGACAGGTTTCCAGGGCAAGGTCTGAACATGTTCAGACATGCTAGACAGTAGCAAAGAGGCTGTGACTCCCTCTTTGAGCATTTTGCTTCTTCAAAATTATTATTTTGAGCATTGCACAGCTATGCTGCCTCTGTAGAACTGCTTCTTCCCAACATGGAAATGGTATATTTAGTAGGAATCTTTTCTACACTACACCTTGGAGCTTATTCATGAACAGTCTTTCAAGACTCACAGGGGTCACAGCTGTTGTGAGGATGAAAATAATTAAGGGAAATAAATGAAGTTTGTGTAAAGCACCTTGTACAGTACCTGACTTGTGGTGGATACTTGAGACATGGTACAATTAAATGAAAATGAGTCAGCCCCAGACTTGTGGGGGAAGTGCTCTGAGGTGTGATCACATTCAGTCAGAACCTGATTTTGTGTGGTTGCCTTTTAGGGAGCAGACTTAACCCTGCGGTTATGGGGTGGCAAGGAGGCTGAGCTGCTCCAGGTTGGAAGCGTTACTGATTTAATCATCCTAAATATAATCACCAGACACATGTGAAAGTAATTGAGGGTTCCTCCAGGCTTGTGAAGATGCCTTTGCTTGTAAATTGTGGATGTTAATACTGCCCAGTGTTCTCTGATGCTGAAGGGGCTGACTTCTGAGGCAGGAAGCCAGGAGATGCTGATCTTCATAGGACTTCAGGGTTCTGTAGGCATCTGAACCCTGGAAGTGCTGACTTCCGTGACTCAAGTAGCTGTTTTCAGAAATGAAGCAGATCCCGAGGCATTAATGGACATGTAGATTGGAGTATGTGGTTGACCATGGGGGCACCCTTCTGTGACTCTCCAAATCTCATGTGACTTGAAAATTTCAACAGGCCCTACATCTTTCATTCCCTAGAGCTGACATGCTAAATACAAAACTGACACCTCTGATAAAGATTCTTTAGGCAGGATTGCTTTGTAGAAGCAGGGTTTGAGAGTGGAATGATTCTGGAGATTTAATGGGGAGAACAAGGCTCTGGAAGAATTAGAGTGTAGAGCCTTGAGAAGGGGAAGAACCTGCAGCCAAACTAAGGCAAACAAGCTGCCTTCACGTTTGCCTGGGGCTGATCCACTTTCTCTTGCGGGACTCAGTTTGTGTGCAGAAACACTATCAACACTTTGAAAATGAGCAACAGGCTACTGCAATTTAAAGGAAGAAAGAAAAGGAGGAGAGGGAGAAAGAGGGAGAAAAAGTGTGGGACAGATGAAGGAAGTAAAAGAGGGAGGGAGGGAAGGAGGAAGAAGAATATTTAATGACAGTAAGGTGTATAGTGGCGATTTCAGACCTTTACATTGGCTCCTAAACATTGAACAGCTATGCACTAATTTGAAAATGGTCGTTGAAGGGTTTAGGGAAGCATCAATCTCTCACATAGCTTAGAGCGTAATCACTAATACCTTGACACTTTTTAAAATTTCTAAGTTTTGGAAGAGAGGGAGAAAAAGAAGGGCATAACTTGTTGAAATATTTTAGAAAAATTGACATAACTATTTTCAAATGATTTTACTGCAAACGAAAGCAACACCCAAAAAATCTATGCACCAGAAGCTAATGCTGATGGATCTCCATAGTTAGTGTGGTTGTTCTGGGTAGGAGAAATACAGTTATTTTCTTCTTTTCTATTTTCTATTTTCTGTGTTTTTTTTTAAACTTCAAGGAAAAATAATCTTTTGTAATGGTGGTATTGCACACTTTAAATATGTTTTCTTTTCTTTGTCTTTGCAACAGGGTTACATGATGGAAAACCGAATCTCAGGCTTAAAATGTGACACAGATGTGTTTGTAACTTTTGAAGGTGACAATGTTGTTATGCTTCAGGTAAGACTCAGGAAATGCTTATTTTTCTTAGACATCAGAATTTTTAAGATTAAGAGTTATCCAGAAATCAGAAGTGTTTCTTGTTTTATTTTCATCTGATGTCTTGGTTTCATTGGCAGGTGTTTTCCTGTTAGCCACTTAGTTTTTGTAAAAGTTGAGGAAGGGAATGAAAATGATTTTCTTTTGGCTGATTTTTTGAGAATTATTATTTGTTTTTGGTTTAAGAAAGCTTCTTGTACATATCACGCCAGGTTCTTCTACTGGGAAGGCTATTCCCAAAGAGTGTGTAAGGCCACAGAAGATGAACAAGCAAAACAAAAAACATGAAAAGCCAGTTTACAAAAGGAGGGCAATTGATCGGCTCTGTTGGTGGCCAGAGACATGCGCTTTAGGGCACACTGTGATTCTGTTTTCTTTTGCTATCAAATTGGCTTGTGTTTAGGGGCATGTTGAAGTCCCAGTGTTGGTGAGAACAGAAGGGGCATGCTTTCATTTTACTATTGAGCTGTATATTATTTTACTTCTGGGATTCCAAGATAATAACCCCAAATATAGAAAAACTTTAGGGCACAACCATTTTCATCAGTTATGTACTCCATATATTATGGAATCTACATTTTCAACACTAGGTCAATAATTATATAAATCATGGTTTCTCTATTCAGTGGAGACTTACAGAGTCTTTAAATTGTATGTAAAAAGAATTTATTACAGAAATTAAAAACTTATGGTAAGTAAAAATTATAGAAAATTATATGCGGTCAGAATATGGTGATTTTTTTTCTTTAAATAGGGACCCTGGTTCTGCTAAGAAGGACTAGCCCCTCTCTTCCCAGGGCCTCCCTCTTAACAATTCAACTCCTGGGACATAACAAGCATAGGAAGCATAGGAAGGCTTTGAAAGTAAAGAAGAAGGAAGCCTGCTTAGGGACCTTGGGACTTGAGGAAGGAAATAACAGTAAGTTCCCTGGGTTTTCTTATTGCCTCCCCTAATTCCTGGACAGGATATGCATGCTCTCAATCTCTAAAATTCACAAACAAAATGTGCTCCAAGAAAATCTTATGCTCTCTAGTCATTGGATAAGGAAGGTGATGGCCCAACAACAGAAAACCTTTTTGTTGCTCTACACCACACTACACTCTACACTAGTCACACACAATAGAAAAAATGGAGACACACACACGCAGGCACCAAAATTAGGTAGACCTGGTAAGAGCTGACCTTCCCCTTGACTCTCAATGAGAGGAAGTAGGTGGGGGAGCTAGCAGGTGGTAGCACTCCTATTGCCCCACTTAGTGGTATTGATAGGGCTGAGTAGGAGTTAATCTTCCAATGTATGCCTGGTGGGAGAAGGTGGAGCTCAGTCTCCCATTCAGCTAAGAGCTGAACACATTGGTTAGCTAAACATTCACTTCTACCCAATAAAAATAAAACCCAATGAGGTGCTGTAAGGAGAGCTAATCATCAGTATGTTGTAATCTTCTGTCCCACTGTCAGTAGGATCTAATGGTAAGTTGAGTTTCCCTCACCTGATGTTCACTTTTCTAACTTCTTTGACCTATTGACTGGTCAGGAATATGATGCTGACTTTCCACGTATTTGTGAATTTTAAAATGTTCCTCCTGCTATTTTGGATTATGATCTTTAGGATTTAGAACTTTCAGAATTTTGTGCTTTCAATAATATTTTGTCTTTCAGGATTTTGGTGTTTGGGATTGTGTCTTTTGGGATTATGACCCAAATAAACAATGTAACGTTACACCTCAAGGACCTAGAAAAAGAATAACATGCTAAGACCAAATTCAATAGAGGGGAGGAAATAGTAAATATCAAATAGTGAACAACAAAACAATTGACAAATCAACAAAATGAGGTGATTTTTGAAAGATTAGCAAAATAAACCTATCTTTAGCTAGACTAAAAAGTAAAAACGAGAGAGAATTAAATAGAAGCCTAAATGTAAGAAGGGCCATTACAGTCAATACCACAGAAATACAAAGAATCCTAAGAGACTACTATGAACAATTATACAACAACAAAATGGATAACCTAAAAAATGGATAAATTCATAGAAACATACGACCTACCAAGAATGAATCACGATGAAATAAAAAACTTAACAGATCAATAACAAGTTAGGAGATTGGATCAGTAATTGAAAACCTCCCAGCAAAGTAAAACTTGCACCAAATGGCTTCACTGGTAAATTCTACTAAACATCGGAGAGAGAATTAACACCAGTCTTCCTCACACTCTTTCAAAAAGAAATAGAAGAGGAAGTTATACTCCCACATTCATTTTATCTTGGTAACAAAGTTTATAACACTGCAAAAAGAAAACTACAAGCTATTATCTTCAATGCATTAAGTATGCAAAAATTCTTAACAAAATATAGGCATACCAATTCAACCGCACATTTAAAGGACTATACAGTAGGAGCAAGTGGTATTTATCCCTGAAATGTGAAGATGGTTAATGATTTATTGATATAAATCAGTAAACTTGATATGCCAATTGAATAGAATGAGAGATAAAATCATCTGATGAGCTCAGTAGGTGGAGAAAAATCCACTTGACAAACTTGATGATAAAAACTCTTAACAAACTGGGTATAGAAAAAGTGTACCCAAACATAGCAAAATAAATAAGCATGTGAATAACCCATAGCTGACATATACAACAGTGAAAGATTGAAAGCTTTTTCTCTAAGATCAAAAACATGACAGGGTATTCTTGCAATTCCTCCTCTCCATAGTCAGAAAATCCTTGACATAAATTAGGCAGGGAAAAAAAGGAAAAAGTATTTAAACTGGAAAGGAAGAAGTACAATAGTCTGCAGATGACATGATCTTATGTATAGAAATCTTAAAGGCTCCACCAAAAATATTATTAGAACCTGTAATATTATTAGAATATAGTGAAGTTACAGGGTACACTAGCAATCCTAAGAAAGAAGACCAATTTTAAAGATACCACACTTTTTGACCTCAGATTATATTACAAAACCATAACAATAAAAACATTGTGGCACTTGCATAAAAATATACACATAGAACAGTGGAATAGACTCGAGAGCTCAGAAAAACAAAAAACAAAAAACACCCCGTGCCTATACAGTTGGTTAATATTTGACAAGGGGACCAAGTATCCTCAATGGAAAAAGGATAATCTCTTCAATAAGTGGTGCTGGGAAAATGGATACTAACAAGAAAAATAATGAAATTGGGCTGCTGTTTCACACTACCCACAAAAAAAGTAACTCAGATTGATTAAAGACTTAATATAAGGCCCAAAACTGCAACCCCCCCCAAGAGAAAACATACAAAATAAAGAGGCTTGGATGATCCTCACCCTTAAACACAACTCATATAAACACACACACACACACACACACAAGCCAACTAAACTGAAATTTGCTCAAAGGAAAATTTAAAAGTTCACTGCTAGAGACGGGGGACTTTCCCACAGAAATTTTATGCTGAGGTCAGTGGTTTGCTGTCGGGACAAAACAGGAAGTGGCAAGGGTAGTAGTGACCAAGGCAGCAGCCACTCCAGTCAGCAGAACAGGCTGGGGATCTATCACGAATTGTGCAGCTCGTGTGCTGGCATGGTGAATCTCCCCAGTGAGACTTCTCAGAGGGCATAATACTGTGGGGTGCATGGGACTGCTGACTAGGTCAGCGTGAGCCTTGATAGCTGGGCCAGCAGGTGGTGTAGACCCTTCTTCCCTCCAAACAGAAAGCTCCCACAGAAAGTACTGCTGAACCATGTGGTTTGGCCCACCTTACCCCACCACCATTGCCTGGCATCCAGCACCTGGCACCTCTTGCCCAGCAGCTCATGTCTACCTTCTTTAATCCAGTGGCTTGCACCAGGTAGCTCCTACCTGGTGGCAATGAGTCCCACTCCACAGAGGAGTGCAGCAGGAAGGTAGGGCCTGGGAGGATCTCTGAAACAGTGAACAGAGCTTCTTCTGGAGAGAGAGAGGATAGGAGGCAGAGTGATCTCTCTGCCTGGAGCAGCCTTCACTCCCCACCAGGACTGAGACTGAGTCTTGGAGTCAGTTTCAGCTTTCCCTTATGCCCCCCACCTGCTGCCAAAGTAAACAGAAAAGAGAAACAACAAACAAAACCAAACCTCAAGTGCAGTAAAAGGCAAATAAGGCAATGTATGTGCCTGGGAAACAAGGGACACCTCGACACGAGATGGAAATGCTGGAGAAGTTCAGAGATGTACATAAAGGTCACAGAAGTAGAGGACCTAGCAGACAAAGATTTTTGAATAACAATTTTGAAAATGCTAAATGAACTCTTGAAAGAACAGTCAGACACAGAAAGGTGGGGTCTTAGACAAGATGTAGGAAGGGGAGTTCTTCATTAAGGAGACTGATGATATTAAAAGAACACACAAAGAAATGTTGAATGATATAAAATGATATAAAAACAAATGTGGAAAGAATTGACTTAGTTACCTTAAAGAGTTTACTAGACTTAAACCAACAGAAGAATTTTGGAAATTAAAGACAGGAATGTAGAAATGACCCAAGCAGGGCTAGGAAATTTTCAGAAGCCCTGACAAATCAGACTCAATTAGAGGAAGAAACATAAAGATAGTGGGTATTCCAGAAGGTGCAGAGAGAAGGGAATGGAGACCGTGATCAAAAATAAAATAGTTGAGAATTTCCCAAACCTAAGGACAGAAATAAACATGGATGTAGAAAGAACATCCAGATTTCTAAATGTAAAATGATCATCACCAACACATCATTTTAAATTATTGAAAAATCAAAGATAAAGTACTAGGCTAACTCATTCAAATTATTTAGCTCAGTCACCAGTATGCAGAATCTGTTCCTTCTTACTTTAAAATGGAACCATTTTCATTAAAATTTAAAACTTTTGCTCTGCAAAAGGATATGGTAAAAATATAGAAAGACAGTTTATAGCCCGAGAGAAAATATTTGCAAACCACACACCTGACAAAGGGCTTTTATCTAGAC